AACATAGAACACATATCAGATGTTGAAAGTGAGACATTTTACCATTTCATGAAAAACATTAACTAATTTAGAACTTGATGGCAACAACGCAAAAACGTTGGGACAGGGCAACAAAAGGCTGGAAAGGTAAGTGGTACTAATAAAAAACAGCTGAAGGAGTAATTTGCAAGTAACTCACATGAATGGGTATAAAAAGAGCATTTTAGAGAGGCAGAGTCTTTTAGCAGCAAAGATGGGCAGAGGTTCACCAACCTGTGAAAAACTGAATCTAAAAATTATTAAACAATTTCAGAAAAATGTTCCTAAATGTAAAATTGCAAGGACTTTGGATATCCCACCATGTACAGTACATAATATCTTCAAAAGATTCAGAGTATCTGGAGAAATCCCTGTACACGAGGGAAAAGGCTGATGGTCAGTATTGGTTGCTCGTGATCATCGGGCCCTCAGATGGCACTGCATTCAAAGCAGGCATGATTATGTACTGGAAATCACTGCATGGGCTCAGGAAGACTTCCAGAAATCATTGTCTGTAAACACAGTTCACTGTGCAATCCACAAATGCAAGTTAAAGCTGTATCATGCAAAGAAGAAATTATATATAAACAGTATCCAGAAACGCTGCCACCTTCTCTGGGCCCAAGCTCATTTAAGATAGACTGAGGCGAAGTGGAAAAGTGTCCTGTGGTCCAGTGAATCAAAGTTTGAAATTCTTTTTGGAAATCATGGACACTGCATGCTCCACACTAAATACCTCCCAGCTTGTTATTAGCACACAGTTCAAAAGCCAGCATCCATGATGGTATGGTGGAGCATTAGTGCACATGGGTAACTTGCATATCTGTGAAGGCACCATTAATGCCGAACGAAATATACAGGTTTTGGCACCATATGCTGCCATCCAGACAGTGTCTTTTTCAAAGAAGGCCCTGCATATTTCAGCAAGACAATGTTAAACTACACTAACATCCACCACAACAGCATGGCTTTGCAGAAGAAGAGTCAGGTGCTGAACAGACCTGCCTGTAGTCTAGACCTTTCACCAATAGGAAGCATTCTGTTTTTATTTACATTTATTTACATTAAACACAGCGTCCCAACTTTTTTGGAATTGGGGTTGTGTGTATATATATATATATATATGTGTGTATGTATGTATGTATAACCTCCAATTTCCAAAAAGAGAACTTTACAGGGGAAGGAAAGAGCTACTTTACTTTTAATGTAAGTCTGTAACCATTTTTCCAAGTCATTTTGGGCCGTTTCTTTTGGTCCATTCTTCATGAAATTTAGACACAATGTAAAGGGCAACATGCATTTTCACATTATGACAAAAACATATATATATATATACACACACACGCACACATTAAGTGGCATGCAAAAGTCTGAGATCACTAATGAAAATGCTTCTATTTTGGATTCTTTTCCAATTTAATACAAACAGTTTCCTTACAAATTATATTATCAGAATAATCATTTGATTGAAAAGTATAATATTTTAAAAATACATTTTCTGAATTTCTTAGTGCTGGGTATGTCATATTTTGCTTTAATGACCGTGTACACTCAAGCTGGCATGCCCAAGAGCTTGAATGGAAGAAATACACCTAAAAATCCTATAAATTACTTAACATGGCCAATATCACAAATTAGCCTACATTTGAACAGTGACCTACAAGTAGTTTTTACTTTAATAATTTTACTTTTTCTTGTCATAACTTTTCTTTGTTTTCAGAGTTAACTTTGTTATCTATTTTTTTTCCTAAACAAATAAAAATAGTCACAGTTCTTAAACCCTTCCCCCTCACCCCTCTCATTTGAACCTTCCCTCAAAAATGTTTGAATGTTAAGTTTTATTCTAATGTATTTTTAAAGCATTAAAAGCAGTGCAGTATTTTGAATCTAATTATAATTTAGTATAATACTGTTACAGTCTCAAATAGTCAGAGGTGCCAAAATTTGATGCAATTGAACTCTAATATGGTGAAATTTATACACACACACATACACACCCCATTTGCGTTCTTGGTTCTGTTGGTGCTGTCTCTAAGGATACGTCATCTTGGCAGATAGACACTGACAGTACATTGTCCCTACTCACTGCACAGAACACAATGCCTGTTCTGTGAGACGTAAACCAGAACTAGCACGAAGGCTTTGTGTATGTAGAATGTATTCAGTGGCCTTTTTCCAGGCTACATGCTTTGGCCCATTTACTCACAGGCTTGACTTTGTTGAATATAAGTAGTGCAAAATAAGTAAAATATCAACATATCTTTAACTATCACTATTAGAGGTGGCACAGATCTGAAACCAAGTGTTGGGACAGAAAATATCAGATATCAGCAAAAAATGCTGGAATGGATATCAGAGAGAAAAAAGGAATGAATCCAACCCATCCTGTAACAAATCTAGCCTGAAGTAGCAAACACTCCCATTGTGTCATGTGATGTTAATAAGAGTGCATTGAGGTGGTGACAGAAAAGCTGATCTTACTTGTGGCAGAGCACAGAAAGTTATGATGCTAACTTATGACCTAATGATACAAAAAAAATTATGTTGTGTTCTCAGAAATCTCAAAAATCGTAATTGGTGTGAATAAGTTTTTAATTGAGATGACCAACATTATTCTTTATTTGACAGGATCCTACAGCTAACACCACATAAGATGTTTTCAGGACTCATGGCTTACATGGCACGTTAAAGGGATGCATTTATCAAAAGGCCACATCTTTGCTCTGTCAAAAGCCCAAAGATTAAGTCCGTTTTCTGTCAGACACAACACCTCTCTCCTTAATCCTGTCTGGATTGTGGATTCAGTATGTAGATGTGGTGTGCACAGTGTTGAAGCTCTTGGATGTTTTAATAGCTGAGGAGTTCAGTGGCAGGCTGGGTGACCACTGTTCAGACAGTACTGAGATTAGATGGTGCCATAGGATTACAGTGTTTAAGCACACACACACACACACATGAGTGGGCAGTTATGTGAGACACCGTTTCTCTGCCATCTGTTGGTAAGCTGAGGCTAAATGCCAAATCGTTATAATCGTTTAGAAGTAGTTATTGTGACATGCATAACACTTTATAAAGCAAGAGTAAATAACTCTATGATGTTGCGTGTTATAACACATAATATCTGTTCAAAAGAATATTTTAAATGTGAATGTTGTAATGCACTCTAACACACTATTCCAATTTTTGGTGGACCTGGCACAGCTTCAATGTTTTAAGCATAGCGTTTATACGCAGTGTGAATTTAATTGAGCTTGTTTATTTTTAGCTAACTGTAAACTGTAATGCTAGGGTAAGTGGCTACAAATGCTAGACGGTTAGCAGTTAGTAACCAAAGCTAAATGGTTAGCAGCACAGAGAGCTATGTGTTAGCCAGTAGATAACAACAGTAAATGACAGCTGCCTTTTATATGAATATAGCTGACATTAGCAAGGGCCTTAAGCTAGCTTTGCTCACTTCATGCCCTGAGTTTTCTCTCAGAAAGTTAAAAAACAGGATGAGGGTTGAGATACTCTTTTATTTTTCAATATGGAATGATAGGAACACAAATGACTTAAGTTTTAAAGTTATATGTGATTATCTCCGCTCACTTAAAGCATTCAATGACATATATGGCATATATGAAGTATATAACTTCATCAAGTCAGGTTCCATAAAACATTATAATATCTGTTTATAAGAATATTATATACAGATATTATAATGTGTTATAGAACCTGACTTTATGAAGTTGTATACTCTTGCTTTATAAAGTGTTACGCATGTAATTATAACTACCAGCAATTATACAAGCTCATACCCACATTTATTAGGTATTATGTATGCCATATAAGGCCTTATAAATGCATCTGTAATGCATTATTAATACAGGATTTATCGGAAGTGTTGCTGAATTTATTTCTTCAATTGTTCTGAAGTTGATAAAACTGACGTGAGAGTTACTAAACGTTCTAGAAGTCAAGCTAAATGTGAACTATTCTCTTATATTACCAGGCTCACCTTATGATCAGTTTTACCTCCTGTCTAGGCCTTTTGACACATGAGTGATTTTAACTTGTGTAACCGTAGGCTTGTTACTCGGTTTTGCTAACTGCCATAAGCAGTTGCTGCATTTGTGACAGAAGCCAGAGACAAGTGCTTTCTTATTGTAGGCTGGCAGAGAGACTACTCAAGGCTTCAGCTCATCTTTTATGGGTAAATAGTCTTCAAAAAATGCTAATAATTATTTAACATTGTCAGAATTGTATGTTATTCCTTTTAACCTCCTGACGCTGAGTAGAGTGGACATTTGCAGTATGTGGCTGTAATTTTAGCCCTGAGCTGTCATGGCCAGAGAAAAACTGGAAAGATTGAGGTGGGTTAGAGGGTGGAGGCTTTGTGCTGGCATCGAAAACAGGTGTGTGATGGAGGACAGCAGTGAAGGAGGAAGCAACAACAGACTGCAAATGACAGCTCTCCTCATATAGATCTCAGAAACCCAGTGTGATATAGTGCCAGATAAGAGCACATTAAGATAGTAAATAAATAAATTTACTTAGGTAGATCATTATAAGAACCAAAACTGATAACCTTTATGTAACAATGCACTCTTTTAGCTTCTTCACATAGCCTCATCTCTGCAAAAATTCTGCTCTGTCATATAATTTCATTTAATCATTTAATCAGAATTGAAGTTTTTTTTAATGTTTAAAATGCAGTTCTAAACGTAATCATATTTTTCTGAAATACCTTTAAACTTAACACTAATTCAGAATACATGATGTGTTATACACCAGCTACTGGTTTATTATATGTATCACAGTAAGTAATTTTGTACCTACAAGGTGTACCGTAATGGCAGGCATAGTGGATGAAATAGCCAGTGAGTGGCAATTCAGTGTAGATGCACTTAATAAACTGGTAACTCAGTGTATATCTAAATGTTTGTTAATTTGACCATAGTATTTACTGGCACAATTCTTTGTCCCTTGTGTGATTTCTGCAGGCTGCCCCAGAAGAGGAGCCCTTACCTGAAGTCATCCCAGCCTCTGCTCCTGTGGAAGTGCCCACCTCTGAGCCTGTCCCAGAACCAGAGCTCAAACCCACCCCAGAAAAGATGGTTCCAGAACCTGTACTAGAGCTGGTCTCAGAATCTGTCTCTGAGCAAGTTTCAGAAGCTGCCCCCCAACTGGACTCACATCCTTCTTTTGTGTTGGTGTCAGAAACTGCTCCTGAGTTGGTTTCTGAACCAGCCCCTGAACCAATCTCACAACCGGCCCCCGAACGATTCTCAGAACCAGTCCCTGAACCAGTCTCACAACTGGCCCCCAAACCAGTCTCAGAAACGGCCCCTAAACCAGTTTCAGAACCAGCCCCTGAACCAGTCTCACAACGAGCCCCTGAACCATTCTCAGAACTGGCCTCTGAACCAGTTTCAGAACCAGCCCCTGAACCAGTCTCAGAACCGGCCCCTGGACCAGTTTCACAACCGGCCCCCGAACAAGTTTTAGAACCGGCCCCTGAACCAGTCTCCGAACCGGCCCCTGAACCAGTCTCACAACCAGCCCCTGAACCAGTCTCAGAACCAGCCCCTGAACCAGTCTCAGAACTGGCCCCTGAACCAATCTCAGAACCAGCCCCTGAACCAGTCTCAGAACCGGCCCCTGAACCAATCTCACAACAGGCCTCTGAACCAGTCTCAGAACCAGCCCCTGAAGCAGTTTCAGAACCTGCCCCTGAACCAGTTTTAGTACCAGCCCCTGAATTAGTTTCAGAACTTGTCCCGGAACCTTCCCCTGAACCAGTTTCAGAACCAATTTCAGAACTAGCCCCAGAACCAATTTCAGAACCAGCCCCTGAACCAGTTTCAGAACCAATTTCAGAACCAGCCTCACAACCAATTTCAAAACCAGCCCCAGAACAAGTTTCTGAGCCTGTCCCAGAACCAGTTTCAGAACCTGCCCAAGAATCAATTTCAGAGCCCACTCCTGAATCACTTTCAGAATCCACTCTTGAACCAGTTTCAGAATCTTCTCCTGAGACCATTTTAGAGCCAACTGTTGAGCCTCTTTCAGAACCAGTTCCAGAACCTGTTGGGGAGCATAATGGTATGTATAATATACCAATGTTTACTTATAAATGGTCCCCTTAGAACCTTTCTGCGATAAACACATCGTGGAACCTGGATTCTTCTAACCAGGCAACTTATTTCACTCCTCATCAGTCCAGTTTTGCTCCTGTGCCCACTTAAGATATGCTTTCTAGTTCTTTCTAGTTCTTTCTTGTTCTGTGTCAGCACCTCACAGTCTTCAGCAGTTGTAGACTTGTTTGATTAGTTTGATTAGTGGTTCATTCTGTGATGACCTCTTGCACAACAAAATGTGACTGGCTGTTGCATCTTCCTTTGACCACTCTGATCCACAAGCTGTTTTCGTCACACCATTCTCTGTAAACGATTGGAAAGCCCAGAATGAGAGCTGTGTGGGAGATACTACAGCTGGCACACCTAAGACCAACTACTATACTATGTTCAAAGTCACTTGTTTTGCCAATTCTGACACTGACAGTTGAACACCAGCTGGAAGCACTGGTCTGTTTGATTTACACTTCTTACATGCAGTGTGACTTCTTGGAATGTACTAATAGTGCGGTGGTGGGGTTGTCCCTATTAACCTGGCATCTTGGTGCATATTTAAAAGCCTCTACATGCTTCTTTCTGACTTAAACAGAGAGGCCACTTGGGCCTTTTTGTGTCTTATTCAACTCTTCAGCTTGCTTAGAGCCCCTGGCTTATACCATAGCATTCTGCATTGTGTTAAGGCGCTTTTTCACTGATCACACATTTTGTTGTTTTTCCACTGGCAAGTGAACTGTACCATACCTGAGTAAGCGTGCTGACTTTGGTTACACTGGGACATATGAGTGGAGCTAGAAAAGGTGCTAGGGCTGCACGATTAATCGTATTTTTATCATTGTGAGGTGAATATCCATGATGAACATGTTGTTAAAGATTGCCATGATGGACCGGGTCAAATTACATTCTACATGCTCATACATTACACGTATTAGGAGTAGTGTCTAATATTAGCACAACGATGTGTGCTCCTGAGCTGGGCTCAAACCTCAGCCTCTTACATGTAGAATGATTGGCTTAATTGAATTATATTTATTCACTTTGTAGGCCTATATAGAAAAAAACTGTTCAAGGAACAGGAAGCACTAACTGCCTTACAGTGTACTAAGAAGTGTTTGCAGATGATGACAGCTTTTAGTAGCAAACGTCACATCGTATTTCCATGTCCTGCAGTCATAGTGCAGCCTAGTGCTAGCCACAATCACTCACTCTTTGTGTAAAACAAATTTAGGGGTAAATCAGAAAATTAAGCTCCTTTGTTGCTGCTACTACTACTACTGGGAAATCATATCACCACACTACACAGCCTCCAGAGAAGTCTAGTTTCCTGGGTTGTGTTATGTGATTTGAAATGGACACAGATACTCCTTGACCAGGGTACACATATTTCTGGATTCAGACTGGTAATCATACTATGCCATCCTGCACTGCCCAGTGGAAAAGCATATTCATACTACAGCAGGTGTTTGGAGTGTAGGTTTGGGCTCTTGCTGACAATACCAGCACACATACTGAACTCCCCTCACACACACACACATACGCACTAGAGCTGTGTGTTCATCAGCTGTGCACTGAAGCTTGAGTAGAACTGGGTTTCACATGCCTCTCTGTACATATTTTGCCAATGGTTACATTTGCTGTCAGCATGCAGTTAGCTGTCACTGGGTGTAATTCTTAGATACCCTAATTCTCATAAAAGCCAACTTTACTTCATTCATGTTGATTTGAATAAGTTATGAGACATTGAGGTACAGAAATGCTTAAGGTTTTTTCACCATAGTATTTTCAAAGTAAAACAGCTGATGTAAAATCAGTTTATGCTTTTCCTCTTATGATTGTTTCTAGATATGTGACTGACAGACTAGTACTCTTAGTGTGTGCATCATTCAGTACATACTGGACATGGTTTGTTATATGTTGAACATATATATTACTGTTTCTACTATTTTTTGTACTATTTGTTTGCCATTCATATACTGAGAGAAATGTATTCTTGACCCATTACATGGTTTCCAATATAGAGAAAACTTATGTTAACCTCCGTTTAAATAAAATTGCCAATAGTAACATATTTTTATATTTATATTTTTATATTTACCAGATGATATGTTTTTGATGAATCAGAACCAGAAAATAAATATTTTTTAGATTGGTAATAAAGTGACTTTTCTCTCTACATATTTACCATAACACAGCGGTGTCCTGTCTTATATGCAAAGGGCCAGTGTGGCTGCACGTTTTTATTCCAGACATGCAGAGCACACCTGATTTTACTTGGTTAATCAATTGGTCAGTCTTCAAAGAACTGATCATGTGTGCTTCTGCTTTGTTGGAATAAAAACCTGTAGCCACACGGGCCCTTTGCGGATGAGATTGGACAACACTGCCATAACACTATCTTGTCATTTTAATTATGTCTTATTTTATTTTTTCGTCCCTCTCAGATGTGGCAGCTGCCCCAGTGGAGGCTGAAGGCAAAACTTCAAGTTTCAAACCTGGCAAAAAGAAAGCCATGAAATTTGACACAAGGATGACGAAGGAAGAGCTGGAGGAGGAGCAGAGGTCAGTGTTTCTGGATGGCCACTCTGACAATAGTATCAAAACACAAACAGTATTTATTCACAAACCTGTTCACAAAACTGAACCACTTTCCATGTGGCAGTTGAAGCTAAAAGAGCAAAGATGCCTTGAAAAGATATCACTTTAAAGTATGAGAAAAAGAGGCTGGTATACCATCAAGGCATGACAACTTTGATGAGTGTTTTCAGATACGTGCATTTAGAGATCCTTATCTGAGCACCAACATGTATCCAATCCACACTGCCTCCGACTTAGCTTCCCTTCAGGTAGGAATATCAGCTCTCATTTTTTCTCATTTTTCTCTCTTTTTTTGTTTCTTTCTCTCTCATTTTTAAAAATCAAGTTTAAACAAATGAAGATGTAGTTGTCAGCATAGGCTGGATAACAATAGATTACTCAAAGACAGTTTCTTCTGTGTTGTGTAGCTGAGTAATTTAGGATATTAGATTATGATTATTATTATTAAGGTGGACTTATATTACATAGATGCAATGTTTGTATGCTAGGGCAGAGTCTTTTTCTGATTTTTTTAGGAGTCTGCAAACTAGTATGTGGTGGGCAGGCTATCAGTAAAGAGGCTGTTTTTACTGAGGATAATACCTTATAATCTCTCCTCTGTGACATCCTGCTAGTCTTGCGATTTGCATGAAGACAGAACAGACTTGCATAACTGCATGCCTTCACTCATATCTGTAGCATGCTTCCTGCACGGGGTCTGCTATCGGTAGAGAAGCAGTCGTGGGGGGCCCCAGGGCTTGTGTGGAGCTGTGTTCTTTTTCCCCACTGCAGAGACAGGGAGTGGGTGGGGATGGGTCTGCTAGATAAGGGCATGGAGACGAAGTTATGGAGGATAGTACTTCTGGCAGAGACAGCAGTGCCTTTGTTTTTCTGAATCTGTTGTTCTGTAGATGAAGTGGATATCTTGAGTAGGATCTGATTGATCTGAATCAGGGCTCGAAAATAACACATAAGCTCCATTATTGCATTCCCATGAAGCCTCAGGGAGCTATGGAGAGGATCAAAACTCCAACACAAACTTGTAAACTAAAGCTATGCAAGCTTTTCTGCTGGATTGCTTTCAGTTCTGTCCATAAGTAATTAGTTAATCTGGAGATTTCAATCAGTATTTAAGTAATTTACCCTTAACACAAGGTGTGAAATACAGAGGGTCCTGCAGGGTCCAGGACCACCTAATTAATCTCTTGGGAACCCTGAATGTCTCAAAATCAAAATTCTGGAGGGTGCATAAAAATAAACTTAGTATAAGGTTACGCTGTTTGTTAGGGGGCGGAGTGGGTAGCGCTGTCGCCTCACAGCCTCGATTCCCTGGCTGGGTGACCGGGGTCCTTTCTGTGTGGAGTTTCCTCCGTGTTGTCCGGTTTTCTCCCGCAGTCCAAAGACATGCAGTCCGGCCAATTGGACATGCTAAATTGCCCCTAGGTGTGAGTGTGTGAGTGGATGTATATGTCTGCGTGTCTGCCCTGTGATGGACTGGTGACAGAATGGTGATGGAATGTTGTATTCTGCCTTCCACCCACTGACTGCTGGGTTGGGCTCAGGCTCCCCCCCCGTGACCCAGAAGGAGAAGTGGCTTAGAAGGTGTGTTTGTGTCTTTGTTATGGAAAAATAGACACTCAAATTCAATTGGTGAGCTTCTGTCTTTAATATTCTTAACTGTCTATGCAGCACTGGTCTGGGGTGGCAAAATTAGTTCACCCTGTTGGTCCTTAGCCTAGTAACAATATGCTGTAGCATATTTGTAAATCAGAAAACATGCCCAATTTCGTAAGAGACTGGTGGAAAGAGTGAGTTGTTACTTTGACAACACATTTCTTTGACAACACAAGAGGAGATATGCAAGATCTCAGTTAATGTGTGGAAGATCCACATTACCAAACCAGAAAAGAGCCTTTCCAAAGGAAGAATTGTTGAACCAAACATTTTGGTGCCACTGAAGCAAGCATCAGCACCGCCAGGGGGAGTAAATTAGCAGTTAGCCAATTTCAGACACACCTTGTATTTGTTGTAGATGATAAATACTAGCACTAGTGCACATACAACTCAAGTTAGGATCGTGTAGTTTTTTGCCCTCCTCTGTTGGGGGTTTTAGAAGCTAGGCCACGACTGATATTAAGGCTCTGTGGGTTTATTGGTATCAGGGAATAGGGCTAGGTATCAAAATTCAATAGTTTTATGGTACTGACTGAATTACTGCAGAGTATTGAAAATTTTAATGTCATTCAGTGCCAGATACGAATACTTAAGTAGTCAATCTTAGCACCATCTGTGAGCCAGTAAGCATGCTTATTCCAAAATTTAGACTGTATGTCTGTTAATATCAGTGCTTCTTGATTAGTCTGTAAACAGGATGTAACAATATACAAATTTCACAATTGCATGAAAGTATATGTTTTAGTTACAGAATTGAAAAAGAAATGCTGATATAACTTTAGTATTTATTTTTGTTTTTACTTCTTTTGAAGTAATTCTCAGAATGTTTTTTTTTCTGAAAGACAGCAGTGCTTGTTGAACAGGATAACTGGCACAAGTTGTCTTCTTGGAAGATGTAAATAAAAAGCAATATAAACAAAACTGCTTTATAAGGCTACATCTCAAAATTAAATTAACTGAGCTTTACAAGATCATTTACAATTGATCTTGTGTTTGTATATAAAATGTGACTATTACCTTTTGACTGAAAATGAGTGTGAGAGGGGATTTTCTAACATCGCTCAGTAACTCACAGCAAACTACAGAATCCACAACAGAATAGAGGGGTCTACAACCAAATCAAGGTGCAAATCAGTAGCTATTAACAACCCCACTAAGCCAGTTATTTGTTTCACTCACTCAGAAACAGCACTTGGATCCTGTGGGGAGAAGCAGCTACTAAGACTGAGATTATTAATATTAATTTGCTTGTTTTTTTATATTTTAAAGAATGCACACCCCTAACAGCGATTATTAGTTTCTTGAAAGTGTTAATGGTTTTAGTTCTTATACTACTATTACTCAAGTCTGCTTTGTTTGCTTTCACCAGCTACTCACATTTTTTGCAGCAATACAGACTGAACTGGTAAATTTGAAATCAAAACTTGCAAAGGTTAACTTAGTTTACCTTTAAAAATCAGGTTGTTTAAAAATAACTGTTCAAATATCACTGAAGTATGTAAAATGCACCAAAATCTGACCTTAGCACCAAGACAACATGCTACAACCTAAACCTTTGAGATAATACATATAAGTATTTTGCATATGTGTAGCTGTGTTGCAGAGTAAAGATACACTATGTGCATAATGTGTTTTCGCCCCATCCTTCATCTTTGCAGGATAGAGTTCACAAGTGACTTTACCTCTCTTTAAACAACATGTGACAGTGTGTCTGTTTGGTCCCACTGGTAAGGCAAAATTTACTTCAACCCAGCCTTTGACACTTGACCCCTGATCTCTCTCTTGGCTTTACCCCAACCTTCTCCCCTCTCCTGTTTGCTCTGTCCACATCAATATGTGGCATAATACATAAGCCTCTGATGTTCCTGGTCTTGGTGAAGTCTAAAAACCCTTTGTGTCCTGGCATATGAGTTAACACTGGTCTTTCTGTAAGCACTGATTTAATCACAGGGTGGTTTATTATCATGAGGTGCTTTGTTATGATGGCTTCAACTGTTTTTGGTGTCACACAGAAGCTGTTTATACTTTGCATCAACATGTGCTTTCATGGATCAGATCACATTTGGATTTCTCTTGGCCTCATGAAATGTCTGGTGTAAACACTCCCAGGTTGCATTATCGGATTCTGAGGTGGTCAGAGACAGATCTTGACCACATTCAACACAAGTGTAAACAGAATGCATTTAGTATATCTGTTTACAGTTACGTTAGTGGAAGTGCCTACTCCTGACTTGCAAGCGACTGGATGAACAAGGAAGAGCAAAATGAGGGATACATAAGGCTGGAGTTATCTTGAAACTCCGATGGACCTTCTTGCGCTCTGATGGGCCGATGAAAGCATCCCAGCCAACCTTGTTGATTCCTGTTGTAGCAGGGGAAAAAGTAAACAGAAGTAAAACAGAAATCACGTGTTGATGTGTCTTTTATGCGGGAAAGCAAAATTGCATCTCATCTGGTCACACCATGGATACAATTTAATGAAAATTATAAATGTAATTTGGCCAAAATACATATGAGAAGTTTCATTCCAAAATGCTGTATACACATTTGTAACAATTATGGATATGATATGATATGATGCGTATTTGAAAAGAATACCAGCTGATGTAAAATGGAAAACACAATTTTATTAAGGTGGTATTTATCATAGTGCACTCTCAGAAATAAAGGTACCCCTCTTGTCACTGGGGTGGTACCCTCAAGGGTACATCTCAGTACCTCTAGTCAGGGATCATAATTGTACCATAATCCATTGAAATTATATTTTCTAAGTTGTATTGACTCCACACACCCCGTCACATCTCCAGACTCCAGATTTTATTATGTTTTAGAACATTAGATTATGAAATCAGAGTCACAAGACACAATATGTACTTTTCACCTGGGAAAAACTTATTTAAGGTACACAATTGGACCTTAAAACTACTGTTGTACCTTTGAGGGAACATTTACATTGTTTGTACCTTGATTAACAAAAAATGTACCTGGATAGTACCTTTATTTCTGACAGTGTGTAGCATTGATATTACTTGTATGTGTAAAGCCCGTCCCAACAACATATGTCAATATGTCAGGTCTGTAATGAGTTTTGGAACGAATCCCTTCATATATATATATGGTCCGGACATAAAAAACATGCTAATGCACGGTATAAACAAGCTCATAGAGCAGCACTGCAAAGACACTGAAGTCTTTACACCAGGGCCATTATCTATTATCAGAGTCAAATTCAGCTGTACCAGGACTCCAGATCCACAGGGTTATGAATCTGTCTAAAGGGACACTAAGGAACAGTAAATTGAACTGGGGGGGAGGATCACCTGAAAGGATATGCTGAAATATAAATACTAACAGGTCACTGAGTATACACAGAAGAGTTTGTACTCCTTAGAGGGCAGTATAGGCAGGTCCTATAGAGAGTTCTCACATGCTCCTGCATTGAAGTAACCACAAAGACACAGAAAAATCTGTCTAATTTTCTTGACCAGGGGGAATACAGTTGTGGGGAACACACAAGGTCACCGTGTAGCATAGATAATGTCCAGTGTTCACATGTTTCCTCATATAATTTTTCAGCAACTGTCCATGTGAGACCTGTGGTCTTGCCAAAAGAGGCAGTAGCAGAACGTTTCTATTTGCAGCCCAGCTTCTATTGCCTTTATTTTGCTAGCCTCCTGCTGGCTGAGGAAGGCATTGAAGTATGTAGTGCAGTTAGTGTCTACAGAATTAAAAATAAAAGTACCAATTAGGGTTCTGTTCACGATGCCAAAGAAGAACCACTCTTGGTTGCCTAACAAATCTTTGTTTGGATAATTCTTTAAGCAGGATTTTTTTATAAATGATAGTGTGTGTGAAGAACCCTTTTAAAGTTTATAAAACTTACACAAAATGTTCTAGCAATTGCGAAAGAAGGTTCTAAACCTTTAAAAGGTTCATCACACACTTCTCTTTTTCCAAACACAGTTCCTTAGGGAACCAAAAGTGGTTCTTCTATGGCAGTGGTCACCAAGCCTGGGCCTGGAGATCTATCTTCCTGCAAAGTGTAGTCCTAACCACAATCTCCCACACCTGCTCCAGCTAATCAACATCTTCAGAAGTCCCTGATTGGCTGGATCAGATGCATTAGTGTCAAAAAAGAAGGAGGAAGCATTTTAGATGCAAGTTGGAACTTAACTCTGCAGGAAAGTATCCAGGAGGAGGGTTGGTGACTACTGTTCTAATGCTAAATGCTAATATTCTAAATTAATAAACATCATATTGTTAAGAGTGTGGGGTTGCTGCTTTATTATTCCTTGTAACAGTCACTCATTGTAGCTTTAGGCAAATATTAAACAAAAAAAACTACAATAAAGGTTATATTTCCAAAAAAAAACGAGTCTCATCTGATTATCCTTTTTTTCATAGACTTTGCATGTGTGCCAATTGCTTTGTCTCCTAATCTGCATGCATTCAGATCTTACCACATATTCAGGTTTCCTTCTGGGCATGATTCAGCAACGGTTTTAGCACATTACCAAACTATGGTTTAATGGTTTTAATGTACCAATCACTTTGTAACATGCTAAAACCTGCTCTTCATGCAGTATTTTTCATTGCCTTCTTACTAACAAGCTTCAGTCATATTCCTAACTGTATGAAAAAGAATCAGTTATAGGGCAGGCAGCAGTATTAATTTAGCTTGAAGTCGCAATGGGTGGTGGTGGTGAGTCTTTCCTAAATGCTTGCAGTGACTCGGATCAGCTCCATTACTGTCAACTTAAACTCTACTCCCTCAACTACTTGCATGACTAACGTGCTCTTCTGCTGATCGCTTGCACGCAGAATCGCCACAGTGCCAATGGTGAGTGGCCTTTTCCTCTTCTTTGATAGTAGTTGGAACTATACTAATGTATTACTGACATTGTCTAATTACTATGTAAGTAATTACCATTTAGCATATTGGCCTAGCATCACCAGTGAATACAGCACCAAATATTGCCTTGAAATATCAGTCAAATCAAAACAAATGCCTGATGCCGATATGCACTGACTGGTCACTTTAAGTACACCTGCTTGTATCTACATTCTTTGTCCGTTTTATCAGGTCTGCTTATCATGTAATAGCACTTAGTAGTACAATTACAGACTGGAGTACATCTGTTTCTGTGGATAATTTGTTAGCCTCCTTTCACTCTGTTCTTCAGTGATCAGGACCACCACAGAGTGGATATGGTGAATCATTCTCAGCACTGCAGTGACACTGATATAGTAGTGATATGCTGGACAGCGTTTAAACTGCAGGCAGATCGAATTTGTCTCCCAAATCAGATCTTTTGAGATGCCTGCCCGCACTGTTATTTGCAAGTGATCAGATTTGTGTACAGGCATCATCAACCTATCTGCATGGGTTTCTGTGGTGACGATGTAGGCATCAGTAACTACGTAGCTATGCTGGTGACTCTGATTTCAAACGCGGAGGCAGGAGAGATGGAGATGCATCATCTTGCCCTCCAAACTCTTCGGAATTCTCTGGCATAAGCATGAATCTTTGGTGCTCTTCTTGAATCCTGTCACTTCCCTCGGTCTGGATTTGACATCATTGTTTGAGGTGTTGTGAGTGATGCAAAAGACACTTTGATATCCGGACTGAGACACATCTGTAAAAATCCGATTGGAATCCCATTCCAAACCACCTCCTAATATGGATATAATCTGCATATGCCAGAAACCGAATTTGGCCTTGCCGTCTGAATCACTTAGACACACCTATCTTGTTGGTCCACCGTGTAGAACACAGTGTAAGCAGAGACAATAGCTCATCTGTTGCTGCACAGTTTGTGTTGGTCATCTGCTAGTCCTTCATTAGTTTTGATAGAACACTGCCAGCAGAACCCTGTAGACTGGATATTTTTGGTTGGTGGACTATACTCTGTCTAGCAGAGACACTGAGGTGTTTAAAAACTCCAGCAGCACTGCTGTGTCTGATCCACTCAGACCAGCACAAGACACACCAGCATGCCACCATTACATTAGTGGGGGTTAACAGTATGCAAAAAAACAGAAGGACTACAGTCTGTAATTGTAGACATACAGAATGCATCTGTAGGGTAAATGGACCTGATAAAATGACAGTGTAGAAACAAGGTCTGTGCGTGTGTGTATATGTGTGTGTGTATATATATATATATATACATACATACATACATATATACATATATAAAACAAAGCATTCTAATTGTTTTTCACTAAATGTTTTTTTTTTCTTTCAGAGCAGTTGAGTAAGCAGAATGAAAGGAACGTCGCCTGGTCCTCCTGTCTGTTTTGCGCCATGTGAGAAGGACTCTGCATAGAAGTAACCTTTCAAGACTGCTGGAGGAATCACCCTTTGTTGACTGTCATAGCACCTTTCACATTCTTGTGGAAAATAAATCTTGCTGTCTTTAGCGTCCACAGAGTCTTTTGCATTTTTGCCTGTAAAAAAGCAAGCTTTACCAGACAACATCAAAGAGCCTGAAAGTTTGCAAAGTTCTTATTTATGATTTTTTTTTCGTATTTAGAGCAGATGTGCTCAGGCCTATATGTTAACTAAAGCTAATCAAGAGAAGGTACATGATTTTTCTTCTGTGCTTTTTGTTTGAAGTAGATGTGACTATAGTTTAACATTCTGAGAAAC